GGAAAGAGCTATTGCACAGCTATCACAGATCATTAAAAAGAGAGATAAAAACCATTTTGAAGATGTAAGGTGCCAGAATGAATTATGGCATGAATGAAGTTCTTGAAAACCTTATTATAATAAACACTAGCCAAGGAGCTTCTCCATTCAGAAGCTGTTTGTGCAGGAAGCATTCCTAGTGTTCCATGTCTGCTTGGCCACCTCTAGAAAACCTATGATGCAAATGTATTTGGGCAAAGGGATGTAAGTACAAGTGATCTTTAACATAAACATAAAAAGCCTTCAAAAAATGAACAATGATGATTTGCCACAATGAATGGTCCAGCTTAAACAGCACCCACCCCTACTTACACATAGCCTCGGAATCTACTGAGGTCATTGTTGGGACTTTCGCACTCTATTCTACTTGAAAACTTTTCTGGGTCAATTTCAGAGACCTGAAATCACAGAAAAGAACATAAAACTCAGGTCAGGAGTATAGCAACTTAAAAGCAATGAATTCATAGATACAGGTATTGGTGTTTCACAATCTAGCTTCAAACCTTTCAGTTGTCCACACTAGCAAACACTGCAACCTGGAATAAAAGCAGGCATTTTTCTAAATTAGAATGCAAAGTGAAGGAAAAGACTGTCCATACAAAATAAAGCCTTGGAAAGTTTCAGTTATATTGCTGATTCTTCATGGACATCTTTCAGAAGGGAGGGAGGGAGGGAGGGAAGGAAGGATATTAGAAGAGGAATAAGCAGTGAGGGAATAAGTGAACTCTTAAAAAGCAAAGGTCTTATTTTCATATGCATTTCTTTAGCGATGGATGAAAGTGAAATGGAAAATGCTATATAAGTAGAATTGTTTTTAAACTAAATGCTTTCTGATATTACACCTAGGATGCAGGCTGAGCTGACAGAAGGAAAGTTTAATGATAAAATTTCTAGTTATGATTAGGTTTAATTAGTGCCAGAGTAATGATCATTATGAAAAACAGAAGTACAAGTAATGAATCAAAAGTAGAACTTTTAAGAGTAAAAAAAAATAAAAGGATGCGTTCAACAAATACCCTAAATGCTAAGGAATAAAAGCTGGCAAATACTAAGGAAAAACATATTGGAACTGATTTTCAGAAGTACCACACACCCATAATTCCACTTGAAGTTAATGGATATGTGAACCCTCAGCACTCCTGAAAATCTGGCCCACTAACAGAACAATTTCTATACAGATTGCCTTTCCCATGAGTTCTCTGAAAAGTCCACTGCTCTTAAAAAAAAAAAAAGAAAGGTAATTAGCCTTTTCAAAGAAAGATGCAATTAGCCTTGTTAGTCTGAACTGCCTTCTGCCTTGAAAGAAAGATTCGAATGTCTATACTTGAAGTACAAGTTTACAACTCAAAGCGTTCATTAAAAATGCCTCTTTCATAATGAAAGCTTTCAAACATGTCTGAATTCTCACAATTATTTTTTACCACATCAGAAGGATGCCAAGCTTGAAGTTAATATATAAATCCATAACGTGTCAAAGTCAGAAATCTTAGCATTTTTATGTTTGCACAAACCTTGGCAGCCTGCTGGGGATTTTTTGACATACTGAGTGCACTGTATTACTGTAAGAGGTGCTTTCAGACAGATTTCATAGATTTCATAGACATTAGGGCTGGAAGGGACCTCGGAAGATCATCGAGTCCAGCCCCCTGCCCAAAGGGCAGGAAGTCAGCTGGGGTCATCGGATCCCAGCAAGATAAGCATCCAGTTTGCTCTTGAAGGTGTTCAATGTAAGCGCTTGAACCACCTCCGGTGGCAGGCTGTTCCAGACCTTGGGGGCTTGGACAGTAAAGAAATTCTTCCTTATGTCCAGCCTGAAACGGTCTTGTTGTAGTTTATGACCGTTCGACCTAGTCGTCATCCCTAGGGGCGCTCTGGTGAACAAACGTTCCCCCAGATACTGGTGGTCACCCCTGATAAACTTATAGGTGGCCATCAGATCACCCCTGAGCCTGCGCTTTTCCAGGCTAAAGAGCCCCAGGGCTCTCAGCCTGTCATCGTAGGGTCTGCTTTCCTGACCTCTGATCATGCGCGTGGCTCTTCTCTGGACTCTCTCAAGCTTCTCCACATCCTTTTTGAATTGTGGAGCCCAAAACTGGATGCAGTACTCCAGCTGCGGCCTCACCAAGGCGGAGTACAAGGGGAAAATGGCTTCCTGGGTTTTGCTTGAGAAGCGTATATGGATGCAAGCCAGCGTTTTGGTCGCTTTACTAGCCGCAGCATCGCATTGCAGGCTCATGTTCATCAATACATGCCCCTTGTCACATTACAAACTGAAATAATTACACGCATAGGGCCTGCTTCTTCATGGCCCTGCCCCTTGCTCCCTTATACAAAATTAGTGCAAAGTATCCTGTAAAACAGAGGTATCAACTATATGGTCCATGACCAGTAGCTAGCCCACAAAGCCCCCAGTGCTGCCCTGTTGACCCACTGCCTGTGCCGGACTGGCCCTAGCCACCTGTGGTGCTTGCTGGAACTGGGCCCCAGGCTGCACTGCCCATGGTGATGGGGCCAGTCCCAGTTCTGGGCTGCATAACCCATGACACTCACTGGGTATAGCATCTTGGTCCCATGCTGTACTGCCCACGGAACATGGTTGAGCTGGCATCTAGGACTGGCCCAAGTGGGTTCCACATGTGCTGGATCAGGCATCTGGATGGGGTTCCACCTAATCCAGCCCATGGACCAGCCCCATGCCACTCGTCTGGCCCACAAGACCAGATGGTTTTGACACCCCTGCTATAAAATGCTATTATGCTGATCCTGAAGTGTTTTATCCATACTTTGTACAAGTATAAGTGATTACATAATGAATTGGGCAGCATATCTACAAACTGGAAATAAAATAACTATATCAATTTTGGTTCAAACCTGTAGTTATTATCAAACTTCTGGTTATTTTGGTGAAAGTCTGAACACTGTTTAAGATTGCCTTAGTTTGGGTTAACTGCAAAAACAAACAGTTACTTACTCTATAGCAACTGTCGATGTTGGAGGACATGCAGCAGACTGAGGATCTCAGTGTAGGTGTACATGTGAATCATTCATGTGAGATTATTCATGTGAGATTAGAGTCTTCTGAATGGCAGTGTCCATCAGAGCTATGCATTCCCCTTGTGACTCCATAAGCATAAGGCCTAAAGGTCAGGGAAGCCAAAAATCTCTCTTGGTTTCCTTTTAATTTGAAATCCATGTGGCTGAGAACTCCAAAAATCAGGGGTCATGGGATGCACATGGAGTGCAGCACCTAGAAAAACCATATTTATTGTAGGGCAACTAATTCCTCATCTACTTGAGTTGGTATCAGTGTAGATCCCACTATGTCCCCTCTGAGTGGGTATGAGATGTCAGATCCATTAATCAGACTGAGCCTGACGTGCTGTTCTCAGCTTGACATCACATTGGGTGACCACGTCAAGGAGTAATGTAAACAAAGTCAGTATGCCATGTAGTTGCTTTACTAGTATCAAATATGGACACATTTCTGAAGCAGGCAAAAGACACTGCATGCAACCAATTTAGTGTACCTTTATATTTTGAGGGAAAAGTTTGTTAATAACAGGAGGAGATACATCACTTTATCCCCTTAAGAGTTTCTATGATGACTTGGCTTGTCTTCTCTGCAAGATATGGCTAAGTGGGGAAAAGGGGCCAAACTGAAAAAGGACATGACACAGGCTAAAGCATTTGGTCTTCCCTACATAATAGAGGAAAACTCTGAGAATGTCCACATTATATAGCAGTCATTCTCAACCTTTTTAGTCTGGAGGCACATTTGGATAAACTCAAGGCACTCCTTGGAAAATGCCAGCTCTTAGTTTTCATTCTTTTTTTGCCAACATAAAAATAATAGAGCAGTTTTTCTACTGCAAATAACTTAGAAAGGCCACAACTACAGACTTCTATTTGAAACCTGTGGGTTTATCTTGAATCATGCTTGAAAACCTAACAATGCTAACACTGTGTGGCACTGTGGTAAGAATTGCTGGTATATAGTCTCTCTTTTATTGTATTGAGTGTGGCTTTGGTTGAATTCTGAGACCACCTTATAGATAAATTTAGGATGTGGTCTCAGACCTTATTTTCCATGTAATTATGTGTAGGAAGGACCAGACACACGGTTCTGTTGCCAAGTTGAAGGAGCTGAGGCCAAACTGCAGAAGTGTGGGTAGGCAGAAGGCTCCAAAACCTGTTTCTGAGTGACACTGGAGTGAACATTTGCAGACGTGACAACCAGTTTGATCACCAAAGTAAAGAAAGCAATCAACATATCCAGATAAAACAAGTGATGAAACAGAGCACAAGGCCTTAAAGGAACATTACAAAGGAAGACCGTGCATTAAAGATGATGGCAAGTAATATTCCATAATGGTGAAGGAAGGAGATAAGGAATTCTTCCTTCCAGAAGTGTAATCTTCACAGGCACATCCCAACTGAATCGCAACTAATTGACATCTTTCATGTCCACAAGAAAACTGTCTCAGTCCCATTCCAAAGGTTTCAGTGAAACAAAGAATTTTAAATAAAACCTATCAGAGAACATTATTAGAATATTAAGATGAACCTCTATAAATTTAAGGTATAGGCTGGAGGGAAATTTGAACTCAGTAAATTCAAGACCTGTTGCCAGTCTGCCTATCACCCTCCTCCCCTGCCTGAGTCTCCCCAGCTGGTATAGGTAAGAAATTATGTTGTGCTGTCACAGGTTGGTATCTGGATGGGGATAAGTGTTCGTGTTTTGAGGCACAAGCAATAAAAGGTCAGGCTGTAGACCTGCTTCTTGCCTCTTTTACCAGTAGCCAACCTGCAAATCTACCTGTAATCTAGGTAACAGCTGACCTCCTGCACAGTGGCGATGGCAGACCAGAAAGACCATCATAAGGGGAAGGTGATGCATCAATCAGTTCAAGTAAGGCTTGATCCGCTCAGGAGGATAATATTGTAAGACTCCACACAGGATTTGGATTTCTAGCATGTGTGTAATATGAAGGAAGCCCTTGAAAAGCCTTGATACTATAGGATGTGAAAATACTGAATGCAACTGGATAGGAACATGGCCTACTGATATTGCTGCAAGATGAACTTTGAAAAAACTATATGCCAATCTAGCCTATTCCAGTGGCCTGTAGTTAAGGACTTTTGGTATAAGAGCCTCAGCTGGGTCCAAATTGTGTTGAACTGCCTATATGAAGAACTGTTTCTATTTGGAGGAGCAAGTTTTCATAGACAATGTCCTTCCTGCTCTGTAAGAAGATTTTATGAATCTGTTGAGAATAGTTTCTATCAGTAAAGCTCAGCCAACATTATGAGTCATCATGAGATTGGGAGGGCTGGTTGACTGTGGCTCTGAGTTATCACAGCTGAACAAAACAAGACAGAAAGGAAGCCAAAAAGACATGTGCAAGTGGTCAGACACCTGGAAATGTCTTAACCAATAGGAAGCCATCAAGATCTATGTAAGCTCATCTCATCTAACCTTGGATATTACCAAGGGAATACGGTAAAAAGCAACAAAAGACCTGAAGAAGACAGGAAGACATCTAATGAGAAGCCTAGTGCTCCAAGTACCTTTTTGAAGCAGAAGTTTGGGCACTTGGGGCTAAATCTGAGCTCACCCACTAGCTATCTCATGTATAGCTGCTGGCAAGGATTTGAAGGGTTTCCAAACAGTGCAAATTGAGTATCTGTTCCAGCCTCTTGGAGAAGGACCTGCAAGCAGGGGAAGCCCCATGTAAAGAAGACTGGTATCTGCTCTCAGTACTGTTTATGGAGTGTTCCCAATGACTGTAATGCAATATGCATGAACAACATTACAAGGAAGGACTTCTACCCTGATTGGGCAGCATTATCCTCCCTGAACAACAGTAAGGCTTCCTCTTGCTCATTTTCATCCTGTCTTCATTATGCTTTCTTTCTTGGTTTCCTAGGCTCTAGTCTGAACAGGAAGGCACTCTTGCTTCTATCTGGTGTGTTCTGTTGCTTTATACAAAGTGGAAGGTCTTATACAAAGTGGTTAGGTTGCTCTTATACAAAGTGAAAGGTCAGGGTTCAAATCTCTTTTGGGGGAGGTGAACCTAAAAGTTGGGTTTCATGGGTCTCTCCTGTCCTGGTTGGGAGAACAGTGAAAAGGATACTTCTGGGCTGCAGAAAGCTGAGACATGCCCTGATAAGTTTCTCATCTGGGTGTGAATGAATGCCTATTATGTTTCCCCTTAAGTGTGCTGTCCTCATTTCCAGTTGTTTTATAAGCATACTTTGTCCTCTGAAGAGTCCAAAGAATGTGAATTGATATTCTACTGCGACTCCCATGCGTTTTCAATGGGACTGGATAGTAAGCAATTTCGAAGTATACATTCTGCCTGTCAAGAACCATGAACCAATGCTTAACGAGAATAATGGAGGAAATTATTCTAATCCTTCACCTAAGAGAAAACATGAAACAGGAAGTTCTGCCTCTTTAAGAGCCTCAGGCTGTCAGCCCTATTCCATCATCAGACCTAGTTGTGAATAGATCAGTTGATCCTAAGAAGGACTTGGAGTTTAGCTGCAATACAGAAGTTACAAAGAAACTGTAGGTTCTTCCATTATGTCCCACAGCAAGGGTACTAGAAAAAAAAAGAGGAAGAAAGAACAAATAATGAGTCCTGACCCACAGTGGGCATAGGAACAGCTTTGTTTGTACACTTTGCCTATGTTTTATGTGAATGAATAAAACTGTGTCTTAACAGATTTGAAAATGGGCTTCTGAAACAGGTTAGTAGTTTACAGACTGCCTTTCTTCTTCCACAGAAAGAAATATGTGGACCTTTCCTTTTAAATTCTGATGGCACCTCCTCTCCAACTTTGAGTAGAAGCAGTGAAGCAACTTCTCCCAAAATCCTATCATGAGAGAGAATCCCTGAAAAGGTACATGGAGAACAGGTGAGTAGATGCTAAAATGTTAAATTGCACTGATGGCTAGAAAATGGTATTTACAGGTTTGCTTTTAGAAACTGGCTTATAGAAGGCTTTCTTTTCTATCTTAGCTTCTTTGTGCTGTAGTACTCAGGCTTCCTGGAGTGATAAGACATTGCCTGTTGGTCTCAGCTGGGGCTGAGGATGGCACAGGTTGCCATATAGGACTGGGGTTTAACTCCCTACTGGGTGTGAAGGGTGATCTTCTGTTCCTTTAGAGGCAGCAATGTGCTGTTGATTCTTTCATTAAATAATTCAGTGACCTTAACAAATAAATTCTGCACACAGCCAAACCAACCTAGGGATAGTTAATAATTGGCAATGCTCCATACATTGTCATTGCTGTGGCTGTAGACCTGGCCATGGTGTCAGAGGTGCTCACTGCTACCCTAATATAACAGCATGGTGCTAACTGGCATTCCCTGATACTTCCTTGAGTTCCTTGCTGCTATTATATGTGAGTTTCAAAAGAAAGGACAAGGAGTCATGTTTGGTCATTTGGGCCAGGTAATTTGCCACTTAGTATTATAAAGAGAAAATGTCCATTCCAGAAAAGGGAGACCTTTTGGGTCCTGGTCACTGGTATAACTCTAGTTTTGAATTGGAATTGTCTTCTACCACTGAAACAGCTAAGATGCCTGCATTGCAGTACATGTATCAATACTCATACTCTAACTTGGGGACCAATTATTACTTCTTGAGCTGTTTTCCAATTGATGCTATCATGATCACTGTCCACCATGGGACCTTAGCTTGGTTGAGCAATCCCTTGTTTACAGGATGCAGAGACTGGCTGCAATGGAGTAACCAGAATGTTCAGTCATTGAGGTTTCTCTAATGTGACAGATGCCTCCATCTCTAGAATATCTGCAACGTTCAAAGGAGTGAAGTATCAGTACTGGTGTTAGGGACTTCGCTGGCAGACAAAGATGAAAAGTCTACTTGTAGTGAAGCAGGATGCTGTTGTTCCTGTAGTCAGGCTGTTCCTGGTAGACTGTCATAAATCAGGGAAGCTGATGGAGAAAGTGGTCTTTTCCTCAAATGCAAGGCTTACTTGCATGAGGTGGTGGTTACCAGTAAGCTCAGTGGGGCAAAATTACCATGCTGTAGTGGGAGTACACAGCATTCTTGGTGCCAGTGTCTGTACTGATACCAGTAAGTGTCTTCGTACAATTATGCTTCTGATTCTTTCAGTGGTATTAGTACTAAGCTGATCCCTGGAGCTGGGATCAGAGTTAGTCTTCATTTCTATATTGAAAATGGATCCTCTTCACCAGAAGTTCAGGTCTAGCTGGTTTTATTCTAAGTCTTTAGGTAGTCAGTCTTTCTGGGAAGTCCTGGCTTCCCATTTTAAGTTTCTTTTCAGATCACTCCTTCTCAGTGTTGGACTTCATCACCAGGGACTTCTGTTGCCAGGGTAATGCCAGGAATTTTCTTGGCATGGTCTTCTCTGCACTGGTCCTTACTATTATTCTTCTACTAGATGGGGCACTAGATAAAACTGACTTGTTCAACACCCATACTCTAGAGCTTATGTCTTTAGGATCAGAATATCTCTTTAGCCATTACTATAGAAGAGCAAATGTCAACTGTGTGATTTGTGCCTTGTTCTTGCCAAAAACTAAAGGCACTTAGGAGATAGCTGTATATCAGGCAGATACAGCGATGCCTCTTCCATTTAAAGTATCCATCTTTCAGTGTCAAGAATTCATTGGAGAACAAGCAGGCAGGGCTAGACACCTAAAGTTTCAGAATTTCTGTACAGGGTGCATGTATGGAGCTGTACACAGGGGGGACATCAGTATTCCATGCAGATTGGTTAATATTCACGACAATCACATGCATCATAACTTCCTAACCTTTCTGGGTTTCTGACATATATAAGAACTTAGCCAGAGCTAAGAACTTAGTGAGTTAAGCACTGTCCAGGTTCTATCATACTGCCACAGGCACTTAGAGGGAACTAAGGGAGGGTTATGACTAACCTTCCCTCCATGCTCTTATATGAGTGTATAAGGAGGCACTGAGCACACTGCTCTTTAAAAAGACTTTGATTTCACATGCCTCAGGCATGTGTGTACCCACAGTGGGATTCACAGTAAAACATAATCAAAAATTTATTTTTTACTCACTTAAAGTAACTCAAAACAGGACATTCTTAATCTGAAATGTGTGTCCACACACAAATTTGCCCCACAGTAACTAAGAAGTAAAACTAAGTTATTTTGTATGCGAACTCGGTCTAGACAAGCTCCACTTCAGCAACTAATGAAATAAATGAGAAGGCTTTTCAACTGAATCCATGGGCATGGAACATCAGTTTTCTTAAATTATTATGCAAGAGGCAAGGATTCCTTAGGGTGATATCTTTTACTATGTAGTTGAGATACAAGTTAGACAAGCTTTCAAATGTCAAGACATCTTGCATTCAATAGCTTATTCAACTTTATCCTAACTACATAGTTGGTCCAATAAACAGTATCACCCTAAGGAATCCTTGTGTCTCAATTTCTGGACCATTGCAGCTGCAACATCACTCTTACAGTATCTTAAATTATTTAAAATGCACAACTGTTACCTGCTCTGCAAATCCTCTCACCACCTGCCTCTGCTTTAGATTGGTCTCTCCGTCAAGTCCTGCTGTTTCGATGTGACAGATCCCGTCTGGATCAGTAGAATATAACAGCACCATATCAGCAGGGATTATTTCATTACACGAAAGTCGAATGAAGTCCCCAACATTAACATCTTTCCAGCACTGATCTATGTATTTCTTTTCTTTCCTGAAACATACATAACAAGTAAAATAAAAAATTCTACCGCCTGGAAGAACTTACTGTTAGTAGAAGATGATTATAGTACATGTACATACAGTTAAAAAAAATACTTAGTCCAAACCCATATATACAAAAGTGCCTCTAAGCCATCAATGCTCATGAGACATTATTAACTTAGGGTAAATGTATTCTGTATGAGAATTTAAACCGTTGTATTAATTGCCTAGGATGCAAGTCAGTGAAGAATTTAGCTCTGTTTTTTATTTCCTAGGAGAAAGTAATATTCACCTATTATGTGACTTTCAAGTTATGTAAATGAAGTAGCAGATCTTTATCTCCTTTCCTAATTACCCTTTCAGAACAGCTGTTCTTGTTTCTTAGTTGGATGGGTACCTATCAATATGTTAAAACAGTCACCTGCCAATTCACTGAAGTTCAAAATTAAAATTCCACTTGGAAACATCCATACTGTATGTAAATATAATATAGTATACTACCATTCACTACTTTGGTGCAAATCTGTGTGTAGTCATGTATTTTGGTTTAAGAATGCCCTGTTTTGTGTTACTTGAGTGAAAAATAATTTATGACTGTGTCAGAAAAAGACATGTGCACACATGCACATGCATGCGCGCACACACACACAAACGCTGCGGCTTTATCTCTTTGACCTCTGCATTAAGCAGCATCAGGCTATTACAATTCCCAGAGTGAAGTCTATAAAAGTTCATGGCTCTGAGCACTTTTCAGAATTGGACATTGCTTATGATTGTTTTTCATGCCATAACAATAATTAACTTTCCATCTCTGCCTGCTGTTTAGTTTTCACGTGAGGCCACTATCCTTGTATGTGGTCAGAGCTGATTACTGGGAACATCATTAGGATTATGAACCAGACTGGGATTTCAAGTGAGGAGTAAACAACATTGGATGACCTGGAGGAACAAATGTAAAGTGCATCAGTACAGGTGGAGGCAGTACTGCTGTTGTCTGATGGGATCAAATTTTGCTGTCTGAGGGAGCATCTACATGTCGCCGTATGGAAACATTGCCATGGCGCAGTACGTGTGGCTTCTGTGCCATGCACACAGCGCATGGTTAAATTTCACTGCTTCATTGCCATAGTGGCACGCTATACCCAGAGAGCACACCACTACGGTGACGTAGTTGGCGATCGCGTGCAGACACACATGATCACTACATCATCATAGTGTGGTGCACAGCAATGTCGCGCATCACTACATCACCATAGGGCAACTTGTATATGCACCTTGAATGAATGTTTGTGGGCATCTCTCTGTGTAGCCAGAAGGCATTTTTGGTGATAAGTTACATTACCATTAGTAATGGCAAAAACATTTTGCCGAAGATAGGTCAACCCTAAGAGATCGGCTGATGTGCTAGTTTTGTCTGGCTTCTCAAATCTATGTGTTAGTATCGGGTACAAATTTAATAACAATAATAAAAAACCCTCATCCCAATAAGAAGAAAGTTTCATATATTAGAATTTATACATAAAAATTGGTGCTAGTGTCTCTTTAAAAATGCAGGCCTGAAGCAAGAGGGCACAAATAGCATGAAATTAAATATTTTACTGACCACTGAAATCAGTAATATAGAAGGGCTGCAGAACATAGTGAAAACCACACTAATTTCTGTTGGAGAAATGTATCCTAAGAAAAAAAGCATCAAAATGTAACTATACATCTTGATGCATTGAATCTTCTCAACAAGACTCTTTACAGTGCTATTTCTGAAATGAAACCTAGCAAATCTAGATTGACTTGCCAGCCAACATTTAAAGTCGTTTAGCTATTTTTCTGTCATGCTCCTGCCTAGAATTCTCAAGCTGTACCCTACAGAACTCATTAATATTAATAGCTCTGATGTTTACGTTCTCTGATGACTCACAACATCCCATGTATTTGAAAATGTGTTATGTTGCTCTGCTAGCAAATACTATATTAAGATATATTAAAAGCATGCATCTCATAGCACTAATGATAGATATGCTTTAATATGTGTCTGTGTCACATGAGGAAGGGCATTTTGTGCCTGAAAACTTGTCAAACGTCTCTCCCAAACGTTGGTTGCAATAAGTGATATCATAACAAAAAATCTTTACTTCTCACAGGAACAGAGATGCATTTATGTCCAAAATTAATACATTTTTTATCAAACTGTATAACAGAAATATTAATAAATTTTTGGTATTGTTGATACATTTTTATCAAACTTTTATAACAGAAATATTAATGCACCATACATTTTACGCAACTACCCTGTAAATTAAGAATCTATAAGATAAAGAGGGCACAAACATCTAAATGTGGCCATAGAGGGGTTCTTGGAAGGATCAATTCCTGAAAAAAATTAGTTGGGAAAGATATCTGAATGACATGGATACAGAAAGATAAAAGGGGACTTTACAGATAATGAGTCTGATTCCCAGCCATTTACTGGGGGCTGTGAGTGCAAAGTAGATATAACATTCACCAAATCTGAATTCTTTGCTTGCTCAGTTGATTGGCGACAGGGATTGCCAAGGCTTCTGCCAACTGTAACGTGATCCTAATCATTCCAATTTGTTCAAGATTTCAGCAATGTTGACTGATTTAAAATTTATGCCCACTTTGCAAGGTGCAAAAGACAGTGCAGAATCAGGTGAAGGAAGAAGTTAGCGATTATTCTAAATTCTTAAGCCAGGATGAAAGACGGTCTGCAGAGCACAAAAGACAGATGAAAGGAAAGGTAATGAAATGAATGATGTAGTCTGGGGTGACTTTAGGGAAATGAGGACAAGGAGCTAGCTCTGATACAGTGAGCAAAAGGGAACCCATGATTAAATCTGATGTGAAAGCAACTTAGGTCAGGGGATTCAATGGGAACTCTTTAGGGAAACAACCTTTGCATTTTTCCTTGATAATAGGGTAACAAAATAATAACTAGAGGTAGAATAAAGCATAAGCATTATTGTCTCCCCTGAGGTTTTTGCTTACACTGTTCCCTATCATAAAATTATCAAAACCAACTTGACTATGCTGACAGCATTGAATATCTGTGTTTAGTAGATGGTAAGAATATGGACAGTTTAAAAAAAAAAAAAAGAAGAAGAAAAAGTGTAGCCATTGCTTATTTAGTGAATTCAGGCTGAAAACATAATTCCTTTTTTTTTTTTCGTGATGCAGTAATAATTACTGGCTGAAGCAGTAAGCAAGCCAGGATTTATGGTAGACATGCCACAAATAAACCCCGTAACCTCCTTGAGTACCTCTTTTGATCCCCTTTCTCTGCCTCACCTGCTACTCTTTCTGCTCCCTACCCTGTGCTTCCTGCCCAATCCACTGCTGTGCTGCCTGCCCCTCTTCTATCTGCTATTTACCACACAGAGAGGTTGTTTGTGCCACTTGTGGCACATGTACCACAGGTTGGCCACACCTGTGCTAGAAGGTTAGGAGGAATCTACTGGAAGAGAAAATTGCATCTGAAACTGAGGAATTCAAATTTAACAAATACATTCCCAGTTTTTATTTAAATTATCTTGAAAGAATAAAATTCCCTTTTCTTTAAAATCCTACACTGTGGGTTTTCATCTTTATGAAATATAATAAGAACAGTAACCAGACAGCATCTCCCCTTTCCATAGTTTGAGGAAGACGAAATTTGAAGGGCCTAAGAACAAATGACAAAAAGTCCTCTCCTGAAAGCTAGCAGAAAGCCACTGCTAAAGTTTCTGCCAGTTGTAACATGATCCTAAAAATTCCAGTCTACTGAACACTGGACATATCTACACATTCATTAATGTGCTTTGGGTAATGTGTGTTAAATTTAGTACCTCCATTGTGAGGTACTGGAAAAAGGCGCATTAGCTAAAGAAAACAGGGGTTTTTTTGTGATGCTTCAATGCGCATTAAGATAGGCTAATGCACATTAAAGTGCACATGTATACATGCCCACTGTAGCGGTTGAGACTTATTTAAGCAACTCTACGCTAGTCCATCTACATTAATGGTATTTTACGCTGGCTTGATTAAATTGATTTTAAATCAATGTCATTTAATTTAGCACCTTAACTGATGCATGCTAAATTGATTCAAGCAAGAGGTAAACCTGTTTAAGTGTTTACATTTTTTTCAATGCTATGTACTCAAAATTATAACAAGTTCCAAGCTGAACTAAAGTACATGGAAGCAAACTGTTTTGTCATGATATGTGATATCATTTATTCAACTACCTACAGAGAAGAATGGGAAAAAAGGATTATTGTATTTTCTTGGATACCACATGCCTCCCACATAAGATATGCACCTTGGTTTTGGAAGACATTATGTAGGAAAAAAGTTTTACAGAGCTGTGGCCTACAGCTGGATTTTTCACAAAGAAACTAGGCTGGAAAAAGGCTTCCAGTTTCTCTGTCTCTTCCAGAGAGCAGGAGAGGGTACAGTCCAGTATTAATCCTTTCAAAACCACTCTCAACTTGGCACCAGTTTTTGGCAACTTTTATCTCATAAGTGGGGTAGAGGGTATATGTAGTACTGTGGAGGGTACCTGCTCAATATACGCAAGTATTAAAAGGACAGAAATTGCTTTCAGCTCTCTAATTGTTGAATTTATTCTTGTTCCAGTCTCAAGTTATTACAAGTTGAATAATTTTACTCTTAGAAATGTGTTGTAACTATGAATTCTTCTGCTATCTTGGTTTAAGAGTGACTTATTTCTACTGAGCTTAATTTGACTTGAACTCAGTGTAGGCTAAACTGAAATAAGTTGTCCTGAATCTAAAATCAGAATGTGTCCACATGGTCAATCCAGAAAGCCATTTTAAAGGTTGCTTAATCTTACTGATTTTTATATGCATCAATATATTTAATTATTGATCAATAACAATATAATAGGAACAGAATCTTGTTACTTACCTGCTGTATACTTTTGTTAATAAATTGTTTATCTGTTTATCTAGCTTGTATTTTGAGTAATCCTCAAGGCCATCCTTTACAGCAATAATTGTGAGAACCACAACTAGAGGTAGCATTGTAATTTCTTTCTGGAAGGCTTCCACCAGTGGGACCCAGTTTAGGACAACTAAAAATAGGAAATACAAATTGGCAGCTCTGGAACAAAGAAGAGATGTAAGAATTAGCAGGGGAATGAAGTTAAGGAGGTAAGTAAAAAGAAGATTAAACTCAGGTAGTGAGTGTTAGTTGATGTTAAAGCAGTTTGCTATGTACCTTCAAAACAAGAACATGTTTTATACTGTTTGTTAGAAAAAGACATGGCATTTATGTAGCTTCAGGAGACAGAAACTGAACTGAGATTTTACTGTGCACCCAGAATCTCAAAACAACACCCCCCTTACAGACCATACAATTCTTAAAACTCACAGCCTGTTTTTTTTATAGGTAAGTAGCCTATGATCAACAAAGGTCAACATGCTATTAGAAGGCAAGAGAGGATGGCATCTTAAAGACTAACTTGATCAGGCAGTCATACTTTTTTGCAGGGGACAGCCTACTTTGTCAGATGCTTTGTCATGTCTTATTCTTTTCTGAACAAGTTAGTCTCTACGGACAGATCCAGACATGCAGGCACATGTGGTTTCTGGTACTGCAAACTGCTTTATGGCACCACAAACCACATATGTTGCACATTAAACCATGTACCACATGTATCACAGTATCATAGTAGCTAGGGTTAGAAGGGACCTAAACAGAACATCAAGTCCAACCCCCTGCCTAGGGCAGGAATGGATGCTGGGGTCATATGGCCCCAATCAGGTGTCTATCCAGCCTCCTCTTAAAGTTCCCCAAGGTAGGAGTGAGCACCACTTCCCTTGGAAGTTGGTTCCAGGTCCTAGCCGTCCTAACTGTAAAGTAAAGCTCATGATGTCTAGCCTGAACCTGCTCTTTAGCAACTTGTGGCTGTTATTCCTAGTTACCCCATGTGGTGTCCGGGGGAACAGGGCATCTCCTATTCCCTGCTGATCCCCCCTGGTGAATTCGTAGATGGCCACCAGATCCCCCCTCAGCCTTCTCTTGTGGAGGCTGAATACATTCAGGCCCTCTAGTCTCTCCTCATATGGCCTGTTCTGCTGCCCTCTGATCATGCAAGTGGCCCTCCTCTGGACCCTCTCAATGCTAGCCACATCTCTCTTGAAGTGCGGCGCCCAAAATTGGATGCAGTACTCCAACTGCGGCCTGACCAATGCTGCATATAGGGGGAGGATCACCTCCCTGGACCTGCTTGTGATGCATCTGTGGATGCATGACAAGGTGTGGTTAGCCTTACTGACAGCTTCCTCGCATTGGCGGCTCATGTTCATCCTGGAGTCAACAATGACTCCAAGATCCCTTTCCGCCTCTGTGCTGACAAGAAGGGTGTTCCCCAGCCTGTAGGTATGCTGCTGGTTCCTTTTCCCTAGATGCAGTACCCTGCACTTGTCCGCATTAAACTGTGCACCACATGTTGCACATTAAACCGTGCACAGGGGCAAAATTTGCTGCCAGGATTTCTCCCCAGAGCAGGGTGCCGCTCTCCAGCTGGCTGGGGCACAGCTTAGGGGCTGCCTCCCAGCTAGCCCCACATTGAGGCACCCTGTGTCTCATGGAGTAGTGGGACACAAATCACTTGAGCAGGGATATGCACTGCAGCACAAAGTAGCTGCACAAATTTGTGTCACTACTATTTGTGCTGCAGCAAACGCACATCTTTACTCGTGTGGATGTGGCCTAAGGTGCCACCTTACACTACCTTCTACCTGATTTCAGACTAACTCAGCTAACTACCTGTCTGTGTTATTAGATGACATTGCTCTCTTACGTTCCAGATTATGTAAACATTTAGCTAAATCCACTTGTCTCAGTATTGGTTTAGCAGGGCCATCCAGTTGGCAGGCTGCAAACAATTAACTCAGCATGTGGGCTCCTGCCTGGGCACTCTCCCCATGACCCTTGCTGTGGCCTGGATCTCTGGGTTCCCACTTCTTCTTCTTCTTTCCACTTCCTGCCCCTCACCTAAGGAGGCAGACCCAAGAGACCCTCAGACATTGGACAGCCTTTACTTCTACACTGAAAGTGGCATGGTTACACCAATAGTATTTAATTAAATTTCCTGAAAAAAGATCCATGACCTCATACAGAAGCATGAACACATATTTGCTTAGTTACTTCCCTGGAAGTTTCAACCATATTGACAACAGCATTCATACCCCCAGATATGCCTGCTACCAGTTATAGATTGTGCTCAGTGTTGAAGGAAAACAAAGGAGCATTATGATCATGCATTCTGCTCTCTGTCCACATGCTCCACAATCAAAATATTATTTCAAGAGAAATATTTCTGCATCAATTGAAAAATTCATAGTGCTTCAACTGTGAACAGAAGTATAATCAATACCATAACACACTTTTCATTCACAGCCTTCCTTGAAACCAGTTGATAAAGTAAATCACTTATAGTGTGTTTAATCAGGGAAGGAAAACAACTCAAGATTTATGCCTTCTGGTCTTAGCTGACATGAAAAGGATAAAACAAGCAACTGTCATAACAAAGGATGCAGAAGAGGAGAAGAATCAGTTTATATAAATCATCATTTGAGAACTTTCAGTTTTTAATTATTACAACAGTACCTTTCCTGTACATTTTGTAGAGTCTTATAAAGATAATTTAAGGCACACTTTTTCACAGATTAAAACGTTCTGAAATAACTGCTTCTGGGCCTCCATAAGCCTTTTCTAGTGAGTTTTTCCACCTCCCCTTTGCATGGCTCTTCAAACCACCAAGCCTCTTGCTTACCATCAAGATCAAAGGGTAGCTCAAGAACGAGAGAAGCAACTTCCCCACTTCTGTATTCTACAGCTACCAAATAGGTTAGGAAGAAATGTGCCTGAAATGGTACAGCAGACTGCTCTGTTTCAGTCCTCTGAAAAGATCTCATTGGATCTCATCGGTCCAAAATAGTGAAAGGAAGGGTGAGATACCAAATCTGGAGAAACGTGTTATCCCCAAACTGATATTCAAAAGATTTGTATCATATTACAAAGCTGTTATCAAACTTGACAGAAAAGCAATTAGGAAACGTGGTTAGTTCAGAAATCCTACTTGCACATATTGATAAATGAATGTCAAACAAACAAAAACCTAAGCTCAAGGTAATTTTCATAAGACTCCTTTACCTGTGAAACTGTTCAAACAAGTTCCGTGGTATGAAGTTTAATAAAGTGTACTTTGTGGTCCGTATTCTGTTGTTCATGTACAATTTTGATACCTTTTCATACTCTTCTTTAAAGTGTCCCAAACAGGGAATAACTATCCTATGTTTGCCAGTGGTTTTGGTTGACTGATAGCACTTGTCACTTGAGTTGCTGCTGCTGTTAGTCCCATCCCGGCCTTCTGCAGATACCAGATGCTGCCAGTGATATCTGGCCCATCGGATAGGGTCAGCCATAGTATGTGAAATGTTTTGAGGTCCACGTGGTGTCTTCACTCTAACAAAATATTAACATAAAATTAAGTGGTAATTCTGGAGAGGCCTTAAAAATACAAACAAAAAACTGAAAGTGAAAAACTATGAGTATAATAGTTAAGGCATATACTCAGATGAGTCTAAAGCAGGTGTCAGCAACCCCCGGCATGCATGCCGAGCATGGCACGCGAGGCCATTTGGCTCGGCATGCCACCACCAGCCCCAGCTCTCCTAGCATGCAGAGTTGCTGCTCTTCTGAGTCTAAAAGCTTCTATTCTATAAGGCTGCCCATCCAGTGTTGTGTTTCTTTAAAACACAAGCCACAGCCCAAAGCTTTGATCAATAGTACAGTTACTTCTCTTGCAGGTTTCATGTATGTTTTCCCTAGCTGAGTCTTAAGGCATGGACAAATGAAACAATCACATTTGTTTAAAAGGGGGGTGGTGAAGGGATATTAACTGGCTGCATCTACACAAACCACTGACTACACAGTCATTTAGTACTTGTTTATATAGCTGTTGGCCTGTACAAATACTAAATGTGCAGTAACCGGAGTTACTGTGCAGTATTGCCAATGAGCGGCTTTTTTGTGACACTGACTGAGCAGTAGCTTGAGACTACTGTGCAGTAGCATTGTGTCAGAGTTTCTGCCATGCGACGCTACTTCGCAGTCAGCGTCTTGTGTAGACACAGCCACTGTGTATCAGCAGATCCACTCTTGTTACCCTGCCTGTCCACTCTATCCACTCCAAGTGGAAACTAAGCCAAAACAATTTAACCTTCAATGAAACAACTGCTAGATTACTGCAGTAATTTAGATTTCAGGCCAACAGTTGTGCTGAGACTGCAAAGTCCAAACCTTCTTCTTCTGAAGCATAGGCACAAAAGTGGAAGAAGTTGGTGTCCTGCTGCCATTAATGTAAATCCTTTGGTTTTCTCCTTCTCAGCTCCTGCTGTCCCCTCAATCCCCTGAAGCTCCTGTGTGTCACCTGCCTCTTCACCTATGTCTCCCACCCCTCCTACCAGTAAGATTATTGCCTCCCATTCTGGCCAGTTTATTTCCTTTCTAGTAACAAAAAGGACACCAGAAAGCTGGTGTAACAGGAATAATAAAGATTTATCAGCCAGAAGAACCCTCAACCTGCCTAAGGCTAGTGTAGCCGGCTCAACTGCTCACTTGTTGCCAGAGCTGATGCAAAGATGGCTTTAGGCCACCATTCTCTCCTCCTTCCCAAGTGTAATGCAGCCACACCTGAGAGTCTGGCCTGTGGATCAAAAAATAATCATGGGGCTGAAGGTATGAGGATATTCATATTATTCTCCTACTGATGGGACGAGCCTTTGTAGAAGCAAATAACTGACATGAAACCTGATTCAAAGCTGACTGGGTTTTGGATCCGATAAGAAGTGAAATTTCATAGGGTAGGCAGCAGTGATCATTAATCATTGCAACATACTTGCATTTCACAATTTTAATAAACTATAAATGACAGCTAAGGGCTAGTTTGTTGTTGCCTGCTGCATGCTACGTGCATTCTGTTTTTAGAACAGCTTTACTGCCAGTCTTGTGGATTTTTTTACCTGAGTCAAACGATGATACATAAATTGAAATATTTTCCTCTTCCCACATATAAAGAGAATTTGGAACAACTTCAAACTACTATTGGGAAATACTTACAATTGCAGTTTATAAATTAGTAAAGCAGTATTTTACGTTTGGCTTTTAGACTGACGTTACCTTTCAGTCTTCTTCATTATTATATCTTACCTCATCTTGTGTAACTTACTTATATTAATGTCTAACTTATTACGTGTGAATTTCTTCTGGAAATGTAGTTAATTCAAACATGGCTGCAGTTTTATAGCAAATGTTTAGAACTCCTGTTTTTAGCACCTTTCCATATGTGTTATAGCTGTAACATATTTAATGTCATTTTTCAGAAGGATTTTGGTTTTTTATAAATGCCAACATTTTAGTTACTTATTTTGTGTATTCAATTAGGTTCTTCTACTGTGCAGATGACAAAGGAATAATGTAAGTTTAAATACATGTTTTCTGTAGTTCTAGTTGCCAGTCACCTTGGGACTGTCTTAGATCCCAAGTTTGCTAACACTTAAGCAGTGAAGTTTACTTATGCTGATTATTCTTGACTGGCAGTGATTGCAGGATTCAAACCTTACTACAACTGTATCTGTAAGGGCATACGAACATGCATGGACATACATATTTTAAGATATTTAATACAGACATTCAAGTACAGATTGCAGTGTCTCGAAGCATTACCTAACTCATGTCAAATTGCTAAAACTAACAATAAATCTTGCTTCTAAACCACGTCTTTACATATATGTCCTATCATTAATTTTTACTGGGGACTAATGCACAAACTTTCTGCATGACAAAAGACAAATCAATATACTTGTATGTTGCCATAACTGAAGCCAGTGGAGTTTTTCCACAGAGGTCCAATTAAATGGAGCTCCTAGACGAGACAAATCCAAAGGCCTATCTAAAAAATATGTCCCTCACAAATATCTATTTCTTGCAAATGCAAGCTGAACAAATGGTTAAGAAAAATAGTAGAAATGTTTTGTTGGCAGGTAACATTTCCACCTTGTTCACGCTTGAAAATGGTTCAATATGGAATTTTAACAAAGAACAAATTCTACCTGAACCTTCAAGAGAGTAAGAAATGGGCTACACACTTCACCTACAGAAATACTTCTATATATGTTTGTAAACATAATTAGTTTTTAGCTAGATGTGAAGAAGTTCAGTAAGATAGGTCCAAAATGTACATTATATTAAGGAAAGAGGGTGGAGAGGAAGACATGAAAATCTGTATGAAAAAAAAATCCTCAAAGGGGGCAAGGTTTACCATGAGCCAGAGCAGAGATGTCTTCTGTCTTAAATGGTTAAATATCAGCTCTTAGATTCATTGAGAAAAATAATGGTAGAAAAAATTGAAGTGGACAGGACAGTTACCTCAACTTTAATTGCAGCTCAAAAATATTATTAGCCAAAGATGAGCAAAAATACAGAAGAAGCCTGTTTTATGGTTGTGCTATCTTGTAATCTTTCCACACTAACCTCTTCTTTTCTCTAGAACAAGAACTCTGAAATTAAAACAACTTTAGAAGAAAACATCAAAGGCAGTATCTTCTCATGGCTGAGGCAAAAAATGGAAGTGGTGGAAGGGAAGTTTTCTGAACTCAGTGGTTGGCTAGATAAACTGAAGATACGCTGGGAAAGTCAAAGACAAAATACAGATGAAGAACAACGTGGGGGCAGTCTGGATATACCAATTTCCAGGCATGACAGGCAGATATTTGTGCATAAAACTATCTAGCCTTAACTGTATCATGCTGTGAAGTATTTGTGTCTTAACACATGCACTGACAATACTTGAACTCGTGATGAAAAAGTCAGTGACAGAAACAGCGTGGGAAATGAAGCCCAGGGCAGGCATTCTGTGAATGGCAAGCTATTCAAAATATTCATAAAGAGAAAAACTCCCCTTTTCCGTAATCTAATGGCCAACTCATTATACAGATAATGCTAAACAAGCAAACACAAAGCAAAACCCTTTTTTGACACGTGAAGAAGTAAAGAAGCACTTAACGTTCCTCTGCTTATATTCCAGGAAGCACAAAAATCTGGGGGCAGTGTGCCAGGCATTGTATCAAGCACTTCTTACAGGATGGTGAACACCCTTAACATTCAATGACGCCAGCAAGAATCCAGGGCTCTCATTTCATTCTAGGCAGATTCAAACTACTGCTAAAGGTAAAAAAAAGTGCTGACAAAAAGGCTTGCAAGTAAAAAATGATGATAACTAGCCTCTTATCTTCTACATGAAAAGATACTACCTTTTCTTTAACATTTGTGAAAATGCCACTTAACCCTTGGAGTTCCCTCACACCTTCATGTTAATGTCACACCTTCATGTTAATGTTTCTTTTTTTTTAATACCAATATTCTCAAAGCAGTAAAATATACTAGTGTAGATAAGTCCTTACTGATGTTTCATTGGCTTAATATGTGCCTTCTACTACACTACCTGCTTTCCTACCACCTCCTTTCTCAATCCCTATATGCCTGTTACTAAGGCCTGTGTCACCTGAACCTGAGTGTCATTTTGACTCAAACCTCTCCCTAAGTGCTTATACCCAGAATATATCTAAAATTGCTAATTTTCTTGCCGCCTATGATTTTTAAAGCAGTGTTTCTGAACCAGGGTGAGGGTAAGGTGCTGCCAGATCTTTTAAAGGATGCCAGAAGATGAGGAGATAAACATGACTCATGCTCATCTGCCAGAGCCCCCCTCCCCCCTAGGTGCTCTGTGTATGAAGGTAAGCATGGCAATAAATAAATTAGTTTCTGAAATGGGGTGATACTCAATTTACAAAAGTTATGGAGGGGTGCTTTAAATCAAACAAGGCGTGCCTTAAGTCTAAAAAGTTGAGAACTACTGCTCTAAGGCATGGTCCTTTCTATCTGTCTATACAGCTAGAACTCTGTTCTGGCTGAGACCTGACTACAGCTGAACAGATTTGAATAATTACCATTTGTGTGGCACATGTAACATTCTTTTAATACATCCTAGAATGAGATTTGCCTTTTTTTTATAACTGCATCATGCTGTTGACTCTTATTTAGTCTGTAATTTACTATGAACCCCACATCCTTTTGTGCTATATAGCTGCCTATGCAGTTATTCCTGATTTTCTTTATATTTGTGCATTTCATTTCTCCTTCCCAAATGTAGCTTCTTGCAACTTTTATAAATTTAAGCATGTTGGGGAAAACTGTCTCTCCAGTTAATCAAGGTTACTTTAAATTTGGACCCTGCCCTCCAGAGAGCTTGCAATCCCTTCGTCTCCTCTGGTGTTATCTGCACATTTAATGTGTGCTCTGTGTTCCAATGTTCAAGTCTTTAATAAAAATACTGAATGCAAACAGGGTCCAGTACAAACACCTGTGTAAACTGAAATGCCGCCTTAGTGCAGCTGAAAACCTTGGTAACTACTTCTTGAGTGCGTTTTTCAAACATTTGTGTTTTTCTTCATTTCTCCAAGAGACAGTTATGGCATCGTCAAGGCATATTGTACCTAGCCTTCTGTCTTATCCACTAAGCCTAATTTCTACCAAAGAAATAAATTAGACTGGCTTGCTATGATTTATCTTTGAAAAATCTGTTGGCTGTTTTTTCTTTGTTTTGTTGTCATCTCATCCTCTAATTGTTTACGAACTGGCATAAGTACTTTGTTCTTCTCTCTAGTCCTCTGTGATTTCTCCTGTCTTGTGACTTCTTGAAAATAATTGTTAATGTTTAAGACAGTGCTTTGACTAGTTCCTTAAGGGAACTACAGCAGAGCACTGAACTGGCAGTAGGGGCTGGTCTTTTGACACACTCTGAGAGTGACTCCAATCCCTTTCCCCAGCCAGATCCACCAGTTTGCTCTCTGCTCCCCACCTTCTGCCTGATCTGCTGCTCTGCTTTTTGTGGCCATTCCAGATCTAGTACTTTAAGAAAACTTGATGCATATGCTCAGAGCCATCCTTTGGGGGTGCAAATCGGGGTGGCTGCCCCAGGCCTCGTACTTTGGGGGGCCCCTCGGACAGTGCCATACAGGCCCTGCGGACAGCACCCTTGGCACATGCTGAGGGCACAACCACTCCGCACGGCCGCTGTGCACAGCCAGCTCTACACTCCGGCCGCTTGCCACTCCCCTCTCCCCCCATGCTCTGGCCACTTGCCACCCCGCGCCCCCGCAGGGGGTGAGACACAAACATCCCTGCAGTGGTGGTAGTTCCTCTTACAATCCTGCCATGCTTGTTCTAGTGTCATGTCCAGCAGGGGATGCTTCCCTCAGGCAACACCAGGGGCTGCTCTGGGAGAGGACAAGGATGCCCTCTCTCTCTCTCTTTCCGATTGTCTGCTCTTAATATTGCTCCTATTGGTCCCCAGCCAGAAAGGAGTAAACTGGGATGAGAGAATGGGGTGGAGGAAGTGGGGCGGGGGGAAGGAAGGAAACGGGGATAACGGGCAGTTTTATCGGAGCCCCACCAGCTAAAGGAAGGCTGGCAGATGGGAGGGTCTCATAGAATAGGGCATCCCCTGAAGTCCCTACTCCCTTTACTTCTTGCCACTGCAGCTTAATGCTGTTTGGAGCCCCTATCCCAAAGAATCGGGGTGAGGCTCACTAGTTGCTCCCTGGTCTCATTTGGGATCAGTCTTTGCACAGAAATAAACTCCCCAACCTTACTGAAATGTTTCAAGTTATAGTTACTATGGCTGTTTTTACATGGTATGGGCAGTCTTCGACTTACAGTGTTTTGAGTTACAACGTTTCGCATTTACAACGTTTATAAATTGACACCCTGTTTCAAATTTATGGTGTCAGTTTCGATGTACCAATGTTTGATCTGATGCAATGCCATGCCAGCGAACAAGTCTGTTACGTCTCCCATCTCCCTCGAGAATATCTGTCCAAACTTCCTTGGACACTTTAAGAAAGCAGACAAGACTCAGAAAAACCTGCAGCCAAGACTCCAG